CTGAGTCCGCGTCTCTTTCCCTCTTGTGGTTTATCTTTATTATGGTAAACAGGTTATCATTTTAAAACATTTTTAGGGGCGCCTGGGTGGCGCAGTCAGTTAAACGTCCGACTTCAGCCAGGTCACGATCTCGCGATCCAAGAGTTCGAGCCCCACGTCAGGCTCTGGGCTGATGGCTCAGAGCCTGGAGCCTGTTTCCGATTCTGTGTCTCCCTCTCTCTCTGCCCCTCCCCCATTCATGCTCTGTCTCTCTCTGTCCCAAAAATAAATAAACGTTGAAAAAAAAAATAAAATAAAATAAAACATTTTTAAATGTTATTTTAGAGGAAGAAGGGAAATGGGGCAGGGACATTAATTTAATTCTATAAGCGTCTTAGAGAAATAAGGCGAACTACCAAGGACACTGCACTTGAGTTTAAACTCTGTGCATTTCTGCACCATCTCTGCTGGGGGACTGCCTAGACCAGGGCTCCTCTGCCTGTGCCGAGGGACAGGGATGTGTATGTGTGTGAGTGCATGCGTGTTTTGTTCCAGTCAGCCACACGCTGATTCTTTTGTAAAATACAGTGAGAAGTAAATCGCTAGAAAAACAAAATAGAAGAAATCAGACATGCAAAATATAAGCCCGAATTTATCGTTAGATTCAACAGATCTCATTCTCCCAAAATGTTGGAAGCTTCCACCTGCTTACTCTCAACTTCTGCGCCTATCTTGTAGTTCGGGTACCACTTTGCAAATGGTCTCCTTTGCCATTTATGGCACTGAAAATAGAGGGGTGCCTGGGTGGCTCAGTCGGTGAAGTGTCCGACTTCGGCTCAGGTCACGATCTCACGTTTTGTGGGTTCGAGCCCCGCGTCGGGCTGTGTGCTGACAGCTCAGAGCCTAGAGCCTGCTTCGGATTCTCCGTCTCCTTCTCTCTCTGCCCCTCCGCCAGTTGTGCTCTGTCTTTCTCTGTCTCACAAAAATAAATAAGTGTAAAATAGCACGGAGTTAGTCTTTACTTGGGTGTTTTCAGTACCGGACGTTACAGGGGATAAAGTTACCGCAAGGAGGACACCCGTGTACAAATCTCAAGGAGATCCTGAGGCCATAAACTGATTAGAAAATAAATACCTGAGGCTAAATTTAAAATGGCGTAATAGAACATTTTTCCAACTAGTGGCAAGCTCTTTTTTTGTGTGTATCTCCCCACCTTGTCCCTCTCCCAAGTGGAGTGAATTCTTTGATCTTTTTGGAGAATAATCGTTTTCAATGCAAAAGTTTTAAATTGATCCTTCATTGTTAACTGTAGGGTAGCCGTAAGTGCTGACATCAAGCCAATAAAATTAATAAGCAGTGTGACAGGCTCGAATAAATTTCATTGGTGTCTTTGCTCTGTCATTTGAGCACTGAACCAACTGTTATTACCACCGAGCTTCGAACCTCTCATTTTGGCTTGAGATGATTACAGCTGCTAATGCAGTGCATGCTACAGTTGTTTCCAGTAACTGGTTTAGGGTTAAAGTATCATATTTAAAAGGCTTAATTATGATCAGTAGGGGGAACAAGTTGTGGCCCTATGACTTTGATCCATTTTCTAGAGTGACCTACAAAAATTGGGACTCCTAACGATCTGTTTTCTCAACAATTTCAACCAACGAGCAGCTTTGACATTCCAGTTTCCCTACCACGAACTGGGGGCTTTAGAAACTCTTTCATTTGGAGAGGGGCCATCCTCTGTTGGAAGCCAGCCATGGTTCTTTGTTTCTAACCCCAGCTGAAATTCTTCGAGCCCCTTAACTCCATCTCTCCCTCACGTGAAGAATTTAGTAGCAGGTTTCTGCAAATGAGCAAGCTCTTCGCCTGAAGTGAGAAAAAGGATTGTCTTCTCCTTTAAAGCCCATGGCAGCCAGCGAGGTGAATTTGGCACACACATATGTCACTTCTGCCCTAGCCTTTATCCTGCTATTTGTGTGGATCATGCCTATCCTTATCTTTCTGTTTAATTTCATGCCCATCTATAACCTTATGTTTTACCTTCTTAATTCCGCACTTGATGTGTCCTTTTAAAATGATGGGGCACCTGGGTGGCTCAGTCGGTTGAGCGTCTGACTTTGGCTCAGGTCATGATCTCGCAGTCCGTGAGTTCAAGCCCCACATGGGGCTCTGTGCTGCCAGCTCAGAGCCTGGAGCCTGCTTTGGATTCTGTGTCTCCCTCTCTCTCTGCCCCTCCCCTGCTCATACTCTGTCTCTGTCTCTCTCAAAAATAAATAAAGGTGAATAGAATAGAATAGAATAGAATAGAATAGAATAGAACGGAATAGAACAGAATAGAATAGAATGTTATCAGGAGTGCCTGGGTGGCTCAGTTGGTTAAACCTCCAACTCTTGATCTCAGCTCAGGTCTTGATCTCAGGGTCATGAGTTCAAGCCCCACATTGGGCTCCACGCTGGGTGTGAAGCCTATAAAAAAAAAAAAAAGATAAGTAAGTAAAATGTTGATCAACGTTTTAAACTATCAAATATAAGCATTCAGTGCAAGTAAATATTAGCCCATCTTTTTGGACCACTTGTAATTTTATGTAAGCATCATTGAATACATTTATTTTTTTGCACAAGTGTAGGTTAGGTTTACATGTTGTTCAAAAGGTATTTATTTCACTTCTAGCTATCTTTATATTTCTTATTTGGGCATTAACTCTATATCCTATGCAGATACTTAAGCTCCTTATAATTGTTCCATTCATGAAAGGAAGGAGGCTATGTCTTGCTGTTGTGGGTTTTGAGTGCCAGAGACACTTAAACCCTGTGAATTTAAATTTCTTCTTGAGATGGCCACTGTCTTCAAAAGAAAAGATGTTACCACAAAGCTTAAAAGAGAAAAAATGTTTAGAAACATTGGTTCAGCCTTTTGCATTACTGGTGGGAATGCAAACTGGTGTAGCCACTATGGAAAACAGTGTGGAGATTCCTCAAAAAATTAAAAATAGAACCACCCTCCGACCCAGCAATTGCATTACTAGATATTTATTCAAAGGACACAGGAGTGCTGTTTCGAGGGGGCACATGCACCCCGATGTTTGTAACAGCGCTATTGACAATAGCCAAAGTATGGAAAAGAGCCCAAATGTTCATTAACTAACGAATGGATAAAGAGGATGTGGTGTGTGTGTGTGTGTGTGTGTGTGTGTGTGTGTGTGTGTGTGTGTATACGCACACATAGATATAGATATAATGGAATATTTCTTGGCAATCAAAAAGAATGAAATCTTGCCATTTGCAACAATGTAGATGGAACTAGAGTATATCATGCTAAGCGAAGTAAGTCAATCAGAGAAAGACAGATGTCATGTGATTTCACTTACATGTGGAATTTAAGATACAGAACAGATGAACATAGGGGAAGGGAAGCAAAAATAATATAGAAACAGAGGGAGACAAACCATAAGAGACTTTTAAATACAGAGAGCAAACAGGGTTGCTGGAGGGGTGTCGGTGGGGGATGGGCTAAATGGGCGATGGGCATTAAAGAGGACACTTATTGGGATCAGCACTGGGTGCTGTGTGTAAGTGATGGGACACTAAAGTCTATTCCTGTAATCATTATTACACTATATGTTGGCTAACTTGGATTGAAGTTAAAAAAATAAATGAGTAAACAATGGTTCGTGCATGCCAGCGATTTTAGTATTGAAGAACCAGAATGGTGAGTTAGGATGCATTCTGGGAAATGGGCTCCTGAGAAAGTTTATGGTGAGGCCCTGCCTGGTTTTCCTTTGAGGAACGTGAAGAGCATGAGAGAATGAATGTGCCTGATGAAAAGGGAGAAGGAAGAATTATCTGATGGTTCTTAAATTTCGTTTCTCCTTTGGCTGGTCGCACCTAAATGCTATTGTGTTTGCGATTGGACGTTGGAATGTGGCTGTGGCCTGGGATTCTCGCAGGGTCCCTTTCTCCACATGCTGCATAACACCGTGTGACATTTGGTCGAGGGCCACGGTACATCGTGCAGCCCAGGGCAGGGGATTGTATTTATTTTCTATCTTACGTTATTTCAGCTGTTTTCACTTTTTTCTTTATTGTTTTCTTGCCTCCTACAGAGTTCTTTTTTCAAGCATTGCTGGGGAAGGGGGAACACTCAGTTATGAACTCTCACACCCGGGGCAGAAAACAGCTTTCTCTCAGCAGCTCCGAGCTTCTAAGCCACACACACTTAACCCACTGTGGATCTGAACCCACATTAGCTCTGCTTGGGAGCTGGTACTGTTGTCAAAAGATGTAAAATCATTTCAAAGCTTTCCATGGCTCATTAACATAGGCTACTAGATAGCATAAGTGAGTTATGTGCTTATTAAAATAAAAAGAGAGTTTTGGGTTTTTTGGAAATTGGTATTTGAGGAAGGATTTGGTTCTGCACTTTAACAACCGATAGCTTCCCGATTTAAAGGTTACGTTTAAACAACTCTTTTCCCCCCAGTTTATGGAGATATAATTCACACAGAACACTGCATTAGTTTAAGGTGTAAAACATAATGATTTGATACACATATATTCTGTGAAATGATCACCACATTGAGTTCAGTTAACAGCCATCACCACACAGAGTTATAAATTTTTTATCTTGTGATGAGAAATGTTAAGATCTGCATTTCTGGCTTTCTACTATATGAATTTGAGTATCTTTTTATCATATAAAGCAGTCAAGGAAACAGAAGACGGTGTTGTTATGCCAAAACTCTGACATTCTGAGAAACGAAGATCATTATATTATCCGTCTAGGGAGGCTCTAATACGTTTGGGGGGTATATAGACTATTGTGTGGCATACTTCTTCTTGTCCAAACTCCCTGCTCTATAAATAGGTAAGTACTGTCATCATTAATTAACGAGACACAGTACAATTAATGAGCACATTAGCATAATAATTACTTGAAACTGATATGAAAGATTTGTCCTGCATAACTAAAGGTGGCTTGGAGAAGGACAGGAATGTTTAAGACATCCTTGTCATTGATTTCCCAGGATTACCTTGACTGCATCAGGGACCAAACAAAACTTCCGCTGGGGACAGAAGAAAGATCAGCCCTCTTTGGAAACATACAGGATATCTACCACTTCAATAGGTAAGTTCATACTCAAATGATTGTTCTCACACGAGAATATGATGACTTTCACGTGAATGCAGCCTAAGAAAACTTTACCTGTAATCCTTGATTCGACGTCATACGGTTTTGTGTGCCATCATGTGATGAAGCCTTCTAGCTAGAAGCATCCTTGTTCTAGATGAGTCTCCCATTTATTTAATATTCCATCCCACTCCACCCTCCTGACTCGGAGAAGAGACCTGTTTGCCCTGACGGAGGAGTGACATCTTTCTTCTACAACACAACAGAAACGGGGCATCCAGAAGCGTGCGCCTGCTTAGTCTGCAGCACCCCACCTCCCCTGGATTTTCTAGAAGTTGTCTTCTGCCTAGGGCATGGGGAGGACACTGTAAACACACAACTACTTTAGGTCACAACCTATCTGAATTCAAATTACTTAATAATTTACATTTAAATGATTAGTTCAAACACGTATTGAGGACCGACTACATAAAAGACACTGGGCTTCGAAAATTTGCTGAAGGGGCTGGGACAGGCAAATTGGTTAGTGTTGTATGTTGTGAAACTTCTGCCAGGAAGTAGGCAGGTTAAGATTACAGACTCTGGGGGCGCCTGGGTGGCGCAGTCGGTTGGGCGTCCGACTTCAGCCAGGTCACGATCTCGCGGTCCGTGAGTTCGAGCCCCGCGTCAGGCTCTGGGCTGATGGCTCAGAGCCTGGAGCCTGTTTCCGATTCTGTGTCTCCCTCTCTCTCTGCCCCTCCCCCGTTCATGCTCTGTCTCTCTCTGTCCTAAAAATAAATAAACGTTGAAAAAAAAAAATTTTTTAAAAAAGATTACAGACTCTGGTTTCCAACATGTCTGGGTTTGCATCCCAGCTGAGCCATGTAGGTATCTTTGGGTGAGTCTTTCGATGGAGTAGAATAACTAACTCCCTCCCTCCAAGGCTGTACCCATGTCTTCCTTTCTCCATGAAGCTTGCCGGACACACACACACACACACACACACACACACACACGCACACCCCTCAACTGCTCTTTTTTCTCCTGGCATTTATCGAATTCCGACATACCCTGTAACTGACTTTGGGTTGACATCTGTTGTTTCTTTCCTCGCCACGCCCACTCCCCCAAGGACAGGGATCTGTTTCCTTACTGCCCTTGTACCTCGACAGTGCCTGGCGTACAGGCGACGTGCAAACGTTTGTGGAACGAATGAATGGAAACAGTAAGTATAGGTGTCTCGTAAGGTTGTTGTGAAGCTTCAGTGCATTCATATACCAGAAGTGCCCAGCTCAATGCCAGCACAGAGGAAGCACCAAAAACATCAACCGGGGATGATATCGAATTTGTTAAAATCCCATTACGAAATTCGACAGCGCCCTGCCATCGTGTGACTCCACCGTAACGCAAACTATGAATATTACCCCGCTTTGCTTAATGCAATTGGTATATGTGACACCTTGGAGGCGGGACCCACATCTCCTTTGCTCCCTCCGAATCTCTAACACCCAGCCCGAGCACGGCCTGTCTGGGAGACATGTGTCTTGAATTGCATCAACAGCTCCTTTAATTTTGAAAGCCCAGGATGTAAAAACTGCAGGTGTTGAAGCCTCTTCCTAATTGGACCCAGGAGACTTTGAAAACCAGCCTGCATGTTCCAAGATAGGGGTTCTCGACTTGAACTACACACTGGAATCAACTGGGAAGGTTTTAAAAAAAAAAAAATATATGATCGATCCCACCCCAGAAATTCTAATGAGTTGGTTTGGGATGGGGCCAGGGCATCAGAAATTTTGGAAAGATTCTCCGATGTTTGAAGCGTGCAGCCGTGGCTGGGGAAAACCTTCGACATAAAATAAATACGGTAATAAGAAACTAGAGAGGGACGCCTGGGTGGCTCAGTCAGTTAAGCGTCGGACTTAAAGCCCCACGTCGGGCTCTGTGCTGACAGCTCAGAGCCTGGAGCCAGCTTTGGATTCTGTGTGTCTCTGTCACTCTCTGTGTCTCTCTCTCTGCCTCTCTCTCAAAAATAAACAAGCATCAAAAAAATATTTAAGAAAAGAGAGAAAGGTCATCAGAAACTTGAATTAGGGAATTTAGAGTGTGCATGTTCATTAGCAGCGCATCGGTGTTCAGGCAGGCTCCCATTTAACCGTCACTCGCCACAATGGTAAATGTTAGCTGGTAAATGGTAAATGATGGTAAAGTGATGGTCAATCCTGTGAGCCCCTGAGTGGCCTCTCCTTCCAGAACCTAGCAGTATCTCCGTAACCTGGGGCGAGGGTGGAAGCATATATGCTGGGAGGCGCCTGGCCTGCGCCTTCTGGTGGTTTGGCTGTGAGCTGATGGTTATGACTGTGTTTCTAGTGCCTTCTTCATGCCAGAGGCCATAGGGTTTTATGAGCACTATCACTTTCCATGCCTCATCTGGGCTCCTCTGACCCCAAACCCCAGGCATTTAGCCATATTCCCTCTTGCCAGAGCGGAGCCCTGTGTTTCCAGCCATGGTCCGGGACATTGCAGCGTAGTCCAGAAAGGGTTTTTACTCCCCAGAGTTTAAAGCTTCCAAGGTCTCCTCATTTAAAGAAAGGTAAGAAAGAAGCGTAGCCCCGCCCCCACCCAGGCAACAAGAACGGCCCTTGACAGTGGAGCCCATTCTGCACGAGTTGGAAGACTGAGAAGGCCTTTTTATATTCCCGAATCAGTTGTCTGTTCTTTTATCTTTGGTGTTTTCAGAGCAAGGAAGCCAGACATGTCTACAATAAACTTGAGGCAGAGTAAATGAGTACCCCGATGATGATGACACGTGACGCGTCAGTGTAGGGACGCAGCGTGCGCACAATGAGCACAACGTATTCGTGCCTCTCCCTTTCCTAGGTCACACTTAGACATCCCCTGCACGTGCGTTATCTCATTTAATCCTTGCAACAGCTCTCCGTGGTTAGGATGCATATTGTACGCACATCTTGTAGACGAATCAGTCATGCAGTGTAGAAAAAGTCCTTTGCTCAAGGACATGGAACTAGGCATCCAGTTTAGCCTATTTGCCAACTTTCTGGTTTTCTCAAATTTCTGTTGGCTTTCTTATTATTTTATTTCACTATTATTTTCAAGAATATCTTCTTGTTTAACTTTTTCAGATGCGTTGTCTATGCTGTTGGGTCCCTATTCATTTTTATTTCCTTCCCCGTAAATCTGAAGTCTACATTTAGAGCTCAAGCGTCTTTGCTGTTACATTTGGCTAAATAAATAGTATTGATGTGACTTTTTATATTAATGCCTCTTACGAATCTTTTATTAGATATCCTACATCAGTTGATTTCAAAGCTACGACTATCTGCCAAATCTATGGTTGGGGCTTCAAATAATTTTGAAGGTTCTATTATTAGTTCAGGTCCAGATTTTTCAACATAATATAATATTACTGTGACCAACTAGGCAAGATTTAAATCTCTAAAATTAAAGAGGGGGAAAAAGAAAATGGTGTTATGCTGGCCTGAAAAACTCTGCTGACTAGATATTGTTTTCAATATATATTTCCAAAAGACAGAAAAGCATAGAGTAGCATGATAAGCACCCATGAATCCCACCCTCACTCTATCAAAGTTTTGTAAATTTTATTTATTTATTTTTTAATTTTTTTTTCAACGTTTTTTTTTATTTATTTATGGGACAGACAGAGACAGAGCATGAACGGGGGAGGGGCAGAGAGAGAGGGAGACACAGAATCGGAAACAGGCTCCAGGCTCCGAGCCATCAGCCCAGAGCCCGACGCGGGGCTCGAACTCACGGACCGCGAGATCGTGACCTGGCTGAAGTCGGACGCTTAACCGACTGCGCCACCCAGGCGCCCCTATTTATTTATTTTTTTTAAAGAGAGAGAGAGATCATGCTAGTGGGGGAGACGAATAGAGAGAGAGAGAGAAAATCTTAAGCCGTCTCCGTGCTCAGCACAGAACCTGATCCAGGATTTGATTCCACAACCATGGGATCATGACCTGACCCAAATCAAGAGTTAGATGTTTGGGGTACCCGGGTGGCTCAGTAGGTTAAGTGTCCCACTCTTGGTTTGGGCTCAGGTCACGATCTCCCGGTTCATGAGCTCGAGCGCCACATCAGGCTCTGTGCTGACAGCAAGGAGCCTGTTGGGACTCTCTCTCTCTCTGTCTCTCGCTCGCTCACTCTGCTTCTCCCTCTCTGCCCCTCCCCTGCTCTCTCTGTCTTTTGCAAAATAAATAAATAAACTTAAAACAATTAAAAAAAAAAAAGAGTTGGACGCTCAACCGACTGAGCCACCCGGGTGGCCTAAAGCTTTTTCTTGTGTCATATTTGCTTTAGAAATTTTTTAAAACAGCAAGACCTTGTAAATAATGTTCAAGTCCCTTATATACCCTTCCCAACTGCATTTCACTCTGTAGAGAATGACACAGAGATGTTGCTCGTAAGCGAGTTCTCCGGCAACAGGGGAAGAGAGGGGGAATCTGGGACTTACACTGTTTGCCAATTTCTGTGGTGTAAACGTCCCCTCACCGCAGATTTTAAGCCGCTAACATGACATCGCTGAACACGGAAGTGGGAAGAGGCGTGCAGAATTGGCTCAGGCAAGCCAGCGTAATCTGGCTCAGTATAACACTGGCACTGTCACTATCCCAGACCTGGTGTTTCATTCCCAAGTAGGATTTTGTGGCCGTGACTATATACGTAAGTATGTAACATGCGGGGCACCCGGGTGGCTCAGTCGGTTAAGCGTCCGACTTTGACTCAGGTCGTGATCTCATGGTCTGTGAGTTCAAGCCCCGCATCGGGGTCTGCGCTGACAGCTCAGAGCCTAGAGCCTGCTTCAGATTTTGTGTCTCTGCTGTCTCTCCCCCTTCCCTCTTCACACCCTGTCTGTCTCTGTCTCTCAAAAAATAAACGTGAAAAAAAATTTTTTTAAAAATATGTAACATGCTTTCGCTTATTTCAAACATGGCATAAACTGTGTCAACCTTTCACAAAATTTTTTTCACTCAACATTG